TTCCTCCTTAAATCCATTTCAGTAAGTTCTTTTGTTGCCACCACTTCACTGAAGCTTCTCTACTCAAGGTTACCAGTGACCTTCACCTTGCTAAAACCAGTGATGAATTTTCAGTCCTCATCTTGAATTAGCAATTAGCACCAGCACTTGACACTATCATTTTTTCTTTTTTTAAAACACATTTTTCTCTTAGCTTCTTAGACACTACTAGTTTTTCTTTTTCTTTTTTTTTCTGAGACAGGGTCTTGCTCTGTTACCCAGGCTGGAATATAATGGGCAAATCACAGCTCACTGCAGCCTCAACCTCCTTGGCTCAAGCAATCCTTCCACCTCAGCCCCCGAGTAGCTGGAACTACAGGCACATGCCACCAAGCCCAGCTAAGTTTTGTATTTTTTATAGAAACAGGGTTTCACTGTGTTGCCCAGTCTGGTCTCGAACTCCTGGGCTCAACCAATATGCCCACCTCAACCTCACAAAGTGCTGGGATTACAGGCATGAGCCACTGCGCCTGGCTTACTGCTAGTTTTTCTTAAGCTTTGCTGGTGTCACCACTTCTCAGGCTTTGCGGATTCATCCTCACAGGCCCTAAGGCACCCCAAGACTCAAGCCTGGGATCTTTTCGCCCTTCTAGATACGCTTGCTCCCTTGGTGATCTCACCCGGGATCTCATAGCTTTAGTATCCCGTGTATTTACTGATGGTTCCCAAATTTATACCTCTGCCCACACTGCTTGCCTGAACTACAGGCTGGCTTGTTCAACAGCCTACTGTCTTCAGTTGGATGTCTAAATGGCACCTCAGACTCTGCATGTCTAAAACTAAGCTCCTGGTATCTCCTCTCTCTCCTCAGAGTAGTGCCTCCGGCTCTTTTCCCCATCTCAGTTAATAGGGACACCACTCTTCCTGTTGTGCAGGCTAAAAATATCAGCATCATCCTTGCCTTGTTTTTCTTATACCTTCAGTTAGCAGATCCCACTGGCTTCACTTCCAGTATGTAAAGTTCTGTCCAGAGTCCAACCACTTCTCACCATCTCCACTGCCACCACCTTGATCCAAGCTACCATCATCTCTCACCTGGGCCTTTCCATGATTCTTTAATTGATCCCACTGATTCTTCCCTTGTCCCCTTCTGTTTCCCCCCAATAGTGAGCTTTGTGAGGACAAGGATGCTTCTGTTTTCTCATTGCCCAAAACACTGCCTGGCACTAATAGATTCTGAGTAAACGCTGATTGAGTAAACCAGGATTTTTGCTTTTCTAGGTGAAAGTTTTGACAAATGAACTAAGTTTTTACTTGTCCAATTTTCCTTTCTACAGTGGTAGAGCTTTGTGTTCAGTATGGACAGAATGAGGAGGGAATGGTAGGCGAGCTTATAGCCTTCTGCACCAGCACACATAAAGTTGGCCTTACCTCAGAGATCCTGAACTCTTTTGAGCATGAGGTAAGAACAGAATGAAAGCAAACTAATAATGTAATTCTCTATTTCTGCTCTACAGGGGAGGCATTGTGATCTATTGAGAGGAGTGTGGGCTTTCGAGTCAGGCCCGGATTCCAGTCCCAGTGTGAACTTGGACAAACTACTTTATGTTCCTGAGCCTCAGTTTCCTCTTCTGTCATTGGGGCTAATAATCTGTATTTTTTATGATTGTTATAAGAATTAAATGGGGCCAGGCGCTGTGGCTCACGCTTGTAATCCCAGGACTTTGGGAGGCCGAGGCAGGCAGATCACAAGGTCAGGAGTTCAAGACCAGCCTGGCCAACATGGTGAAACCCTGTCTCTACTGAAAATACAAAAATTAGTTGGGC